TGCATAACACACTTAAGCTGAACATAAGCCATGTTTTGGTTTAGCGCAAAATGCTTAGATGCAAGTCTGCATCGATTCAGAGGCATACAGATAGAATAAATAAATAAAATGTGGCTAGCATCTTAAGGGCTATTCAGCTTTGAACTCAAAACTCATGGAGCCAGACTTAAATGTAACTCACTTTCCAATCAGTGGGACACACTTCCTGGCAAGCCTATTTAAGATTACAGATGATGAGATGTTGGATGGAAGCTTCTTATATCTTGAAGGAAAAGTTATACACATCTGAATTTCCAATATTTATTGGACTTTCTTTTTTTTGCCCATTCCGATGCATTATAGAATGTAAAAGTCCGGTATCAGATCCACTATTGCTTCAGTGAGCTTTCCAACAAGTCTAATGCAGCAGCAATAAAATTAGTCCATGTGCTGATTAATAATATACATTTTAGGGATTGATGTCATAAGCCATCCTGTTACATCCCAGATGTGTTGGATGAATTGATATATTGAACTAATGTTCAATATGTCTAGGTCAGTGTTTTTCAAACTTGGCAACTTTAAGATGTGTGGACTTCAACTCCCATGCTGGCTGGGAATTCTGGGAGTTGAAGTAGACACATCTTAAAGGTGCCAAGTTTGAAAAACACTGACCTAGTTGATGTCAAAGTGAGGAAAACTCTCATAGTCACATAAGGTTGTGGAATGTATGAAAACTACTAAAGGCCCTGATACAATCACATTTTTAAAATTTGTAATAGATATGTCTTAATTAATTGCTTTATATATGCTGTATGGTATTATAGGAAAAATAAATATTCTTCTTGTACGGGGATGTTCTGAACTGACAGACCACAGCCTCTTGATATTTGTTGATGAAATCTAGATTAGCTTGTTATTGTGAGCAGAATCAGCGGTTGAAATAATATCTGTACAAAAAATAGCTGTAGAAAGTGAAGAAGCATACAGAGATATTTGCTATAGGTTCTGTATCTATTGCTGGTTCTGTAACTATAGGTGTGAATACGTACAGTTGCTGTTGTTATGTAGAAAGTTTACACCCTCTGTGCTTAGTAAGTCCGACTTGTCTTAAAACAAAAAATTCTTACCGAAACGCTGTATTCCCTGACGGCAGTGGTTGGAGGGTCTTCCGTAAAATGTTGGGACTCTCTTTACGTGGCCATATTCAGATTAAATGCAACAGGTAAAGTAACCTATGATGAATAAGCAGTTTTCAGCTCTGCTCCTGAACTGAGAGTAAATATTGATTGAGAACGTTCAGTTTACAGACAGGTATTCTCTATGTGTTAATTTTATCTAAGCGCTCCCTCAGTATTTAATTAAGAACATCTCTCCAGAATGCCAAGCCCCTGTACTCACTCAGTGTTATCTGTGTTTACTCAGCAGTAGATCAAATGCTGCACGTGAGGACTACTGTTCCTAGGTCAACGTGGGTTAGTTGGCATCTTTTCTTGAAACGCTACTGTAGCCTTTGGGAGGAAAATTGCATTCACGATTCCACGATGGGAAGGTCACAAAGAATTTTCCAGTGCTTGCACGCCTTGCTCTTTTCCAGGGATTTTCAGGTGACAATATGATCCTTTTTCATCGGTTTCGTGAGGTAGTTTGGGAAGAGAAGGTGCTGAACGTGTAAATCTTGCATTCAAGATTCAGTGTTGATGGTAGGGCCCCGCTCAGCAACCCACAGATATTTTCTGCTCTCTCCTGCCCCCCAGGTCTTGCCTGTCTCTATCTTGGGGTTCCCATGTTCCAAAAGCCTCTCTCTTCCCACATCCTGCGGAGTAATATCGTCACAATGTTATTCTGAATATTGTAGAGAAAGTGATTCTTTTTTTAAAAAAAAAAAATGGCGTTCGGTGCCAGCCATTCATGATACATAAAAAGGATACAGAGTAGTTGTCTTTGCGTGGGGCTTCAAGGATGGTCAAAGGCCAGAAATCAATTTTGCTGTTCTTGCCTGTCTACAAAACCCATTGCAAAGCGAGGGAGCAACCTGCTGTTT